GTAACATTATTAAGGTATATTTTTAGACGATCCATATTTTTAATAAAAAAAAGAAACGGAATGTTTATTTTTATTATATAAAAATTTATTTTACCAAACAAGATGTTAACTATTATAGTTTCCAATAATTTGATAGGCGAACCATTTCCAAAACGTATATTGGCTTCGCCGATGCGGCTAATATTTAAATCGTTACAATATTTTAAATTCTTGTTGGTAAAGGTTTAGTATTAACTTTTATTTGCGGTTAATACTTACGCTATTTTTATATTCAATATAATACCTTAAAATACGTTTTTTACGTATCGATCAAAAACAAATATAGTATTAATATTAAATTTATTAGCAGATTTTTCAAGGATTAACATTTATAGGTTAAATCAATACTAAAAAGATTTATTTAAAAAATAAGCTGCAATTATATACTAACTTTCTAACTTTTTTTTTTTTTTAATAAACTTCTCAAACTTTTTTATATTAAAATTTTTAATACTTTCGTATCCAACTAAGAAAATTATATAATTTTCCTTTGCCTAACCTCTCTTAGCTTTTCATTAAGCTTTAACCTTTTTACGTTCCTTTTCCAAATGTTTAATTAACCAGTATTTTTCTTTTTTACATATCCAATAGTAGCGTTTCTAATACTTTAACATCTTTTAACAAACATTATATTTACCGCCTTTATCGTTACAATAATATTTACAATTAATATAATATTAACTAATACTATACTCGTTATTATTACTATCTTCGCTATTAATATTTACCATAAACTAACGTACCCCTTTAAAATTTTTAAACATTCCGATAAATATTTAGAACTTACTAACCAATTCCTTAAAATAATACAACAAAATAAATAATACATATTATAATTATAATATATTACGGTATGTTTTATACACAGCTGCAATAAATTACTATTTTTTCCTAAAATCAAGTTCGAGAATACGTTAATATAATAATAACTTATCAAACATAATTTATAATACTTCCATATTAAACTTACCTTTATTCTTCTTTTCAATCTTTATACTATAGAAAGTAATAACTATCCAATCTTAATAATATTATATCTTATTCTACTCCGTATTAAAATATCGTTCTATAACCATATACATATCTGCAAAGTACTAATATTTAAATACATTATAAAAAAAATAAATTGTTACTCTTCCGGTAAGAATAGTGGAAAATACGATATAAAATTATATCTATCGAATTTTTATTATATAATATACGTTTAGAAAAAATCGAAACTTATTTTTAAAAATATCATATACTTCCTTTATATAATTATTCTCATTATTCCAAACCTTTTTAAAATAACCTACAATTATCAAAAAACATATTTCGTTAGAAATTTGTACCAAAGAAATATTATAATAAATTTAAACTTATTAATTACCAACAAATATAAAGACTTAAACGGAAAGGTTAGATACTTATAAAAACAATAAAACTATCTAAAAAAAGAAATCGTAACTTCTAATAAGCTAATTTCCTCCGCTTAATCCAACGTTTAATAAAACCGCCAACATTATATATAGACCACCCAATAACGGTTTAAAAAATCCAAACATATTTTCCGCAATTAAAGGAAGGAATTATACTTAACCAGTTTCATATCTGGGGTTATACCTTAGATTATACCTTTATTATCTTATAAAAGGTATAGATAACCTTTATTAAGTTAATAAAAAAAGAAAAAAAGGATTAAATAATACTTAAATACCGCTTTAATTACCTTATTAAAATTATACTAATTATTATAAATAACTCGACACACCCTATAATAGTAAACTAGGATTAGGTATATAAAAAAAGAAAGAAAAAAAGTATGTTAAAAACAATGGTTAATTAAGGAATTAAAAAATAAATCCCAACTATTAAATTAATAACAAAACGTTAGGAATTAATAATAACTGGTTAAAAACAAAGAATAATATTTATCTTAACTATAAAATAAATAATACGTATTATAGATTGGAAAAGAATAAGGCCTAAAACGTAATATTTTACATTAAGGCCTACCCTATAAATATAATCGTATACATTAGCGTTTATAGGTTAAAAATCGCCTAATATTACTATATTAACGTTTATAACTATATGGACACGCGTACAGCAAGATATACCGGTCTTTTTTCGGTTTTATAAATCAAAACTCTCCATACCAATACGTTAAACCATTTTACTTTTACTACCTTTAATTTGGTAACATTCCACATAAATAAATTATGTAATAATATAAGGTTAGTAAATGTTTTTATATAATTAACGTTATATTTCCCCATATAAATACCTCTTTACATTAATACACTTCGCAACGCCAATCGTAATTATTTCGGCAATACCTTAAAATCATTTATCGTAAATCCTTTAAATCGTTCCTAATATTCAACCATCGCTTCCTCAATTAAATATATATATAATACCTTATTATCAATGGTTTTAAAATTTACCAATGCAAAAAATATCCATATTACTTTTTATTCAAACATAACTATTTAGAAATTAATTCTTTCCCATCATACTACCATATAGTTAAATATTATATTAAACATAAATATCCAATTAAAGAAATAGTTTAGGAGCTTATATAACTCGTTCATATTTTTCTACTTAATAAGATCGTATATAGCGTAAATTTACGCCTACGCTAAGCTTTTTACTTATATTTCTTAGAATATAATAAAAAAAATTAATAACACGAATAATAATAACTCTATAAATAAAGGGTTTAAATTGCAATAATCTATTAAAAATATAAACGTATTATATAAAAAAATAAAATTATAACCTATTATAAACTACAGAAATAATGTAAAAAAAGATATTAATGTTATTTATATTATCGCAATAAAGATTTTTAAATTAAAACAATAATAACTCTTCTAACCTTATTAATTTATATTGTTACTATTTAACAACATTAATCAATATTAATAAATACATACGTAAATAGAAATAATAATAATAACAATAAAGCAATAATAAATAAATTAATAATATTAAAACTAGTATATTAAAATGTTTAAGGAGGGAAGAATTTATTTGAAGTTAGTTAAATATAACATGTTCTTATATTCTAATAATAATAAATACCCGACCCCTTTATCCAGTAAAGTTGGGTATCTTATCTCTTCTTCCTTTATCTACGATAAAAGCACCTTATCATCAGTAAGGTGCCTTTATGTCAGTGTCACACAACCATCAAATTTATTATAAAAAAGGTAAAACCGTACAACAATCTTTTATATAATCTTTATACAACAATCTTTATACCACAATCTTTATATATATTTAATTCGATAACAAACATCACGATCGGACCCGTTATTATACGATTTTATATGGTTAAAAGACATGATTTAATGATATTAAATATTTGATCAATTTTAATTAAATTAGTTAAATTACACGGCATATAAATTCATTTAAAATACGATTTAAAATTTAATAATACTTAAGATATTAAAAAGGTTATACCATAAAGTTAATAATCAAAAGCTTTAATAACTTTAATAACTTAAGCAATGCGAAATTTTTTTTTCAAGGCTTAAGATTCGATCCTGTCACACAACTAGTACGTACTGAATAAGCGTTATATGAGGTCTAATTTATCATATTTCTGATGATCTGATTGATCGAGGTAAAATCGTGGGAACGCGTGTTACACCGCTATTTTACATGAGACTAGGGATTTTCAGGTCACCTGACATGGCTGACTAATCTGACAGATCCCCACTCGTGTTATTTTGTTTTTTTTTTCAGGTCCCAGCCTTTGTTTTATGGGTCGAATTTGATTTCGTGGCTTCGATAAAATTCGAAAAGAGGTTATAAACTAATGCTAGTGTATCAGGTGACTTTGACCTTGATCATGTGATTATATTCTTAGTATAAGTACCATTTATGGTCGCACACACTTATTTTACATAGTATCATCCACTTTTAATACAAGTCTTTTTTTTTTTTTCATTAATTTCATCATTTAAAAGTCTTTGATATTAGGTTTAATAAGGCTTGATTTAAAGCCAAGACGTTTAAGTCTTATTTAATAATGTCACACAATTAATACGTATTAAATAAACGATATATAAGGTATAATTAATGATCTTTTTAATGATTTAATTAATTAAAGTAAAATCGTGGGAACGCGTGTTACACCGCCATTTTACATGAGACTAAGGATTTTCAGGTCACCTGACATGGCTGACTAATCTGACAAGTCAAAACTTGGAAAAACACGTGAGAGACCCGTTTATTTTCAACTTTTCTAAGGATGCATTTAATAAAAACGCTTAAAATGCGCACAGACGAACTTCTTTTCTCGAGTCGAGGTTTTCCAAAAAGGGATTCCCAAAGAGGAAATCGAGGTTAGCAAGACAATATCCCTTAAGCACTCGGTCACTCGGGCAAAGTGCGACATAATAACCCTTCGCAAAGCAGCTAAGCCCAAGTGAAATCAGATCAAGAATCGTGATGCAGCGTTAACATCGCGAGAGTGATACTTTGTTGAGCATGTTTATAATGCGATACTCTGTCCCAACTAACCGTTAGATGTAACTTGGTAGGATCCCGGACCTCGAGATTCAGGCGGGTATGATTTAGTTACGTGCAAGGTTGGGCAATGCGAACCCTGGCTATGACAGCACGTTAATTAATATATGGCTAATGTGGCGCGGAGCTAAAGGCCCTTCTCCCCCTTTAACCGCTTAAAACTACCATCGCGCTCCGGGAAAAATACCATGCTGCCCACGTTAGGGGATGATCTTCAACATATGGAGAGCGACGAGCCGAGGAGCTGCCGTCGGCCAAGATCGGACAAGAGATCAATCTATAGGAAGGTGTGGAACGCGGCAAGAAAATTACAAGCGCCTCCATTCCATTCTCCTCCGTCGATTACCAGATCTAGTAGATCCGGTGTCTTCATGATGCTATATAGGACGGAGTTTTGGGGTAGCAAATTACGTAGTGGGCCTAGACGCCTCAGCAAGCGATGATATACTGGCCGGGCAGGTCATATAAGACTCGTGGGGAACCCCTAAAGACTCTTAAACGCCTGAATTGACCTTGCTCCTCGGTAAATCTTGGGTTCGGTTGCTAACCATGAGATTTCCTATCTTTGCTGCGGCGTTCGCCACGGCCTCGGCGGCCCCGACTCTCGACTGGGCGGCAGCCTACGAGAAGGCAAATTCTTCGTTGACGAAGCTGTCGCAGAATGACAAAATCAACATCGTTACAGGAGTAGGCTGGAATAAAGGACCCTGCGTTGGTAACACGGCGCCGGTGAGTTCTATCAGCTATCCTCAGCTGTGCTTACAAGACGGACCTCTCGGCGTCCGATTTGCCACGGGGAATAACGCCTTCGTTCCGGGAATCCAAGTCGCGGCGACTTGGGATCGCGCCTTGATGAGGGAACGGGGACAGTTTATGGCTGAGGAGACGAAAGGGTGCGGCGTACATGTGTTGCTAGGTCCCGTCGCCGGTCCTCTCGGTAAGAATCCTGCAGGCGGGCGAAACTGGGAGGGCTTCGGCGCCGACCCCTACTTGCAAGGCATCGCCATGGCGGAAACTATTGAGGGCATGCAGAGCGTTGGTGTTCAGGCCAATGCGAAGCATTACATCCTTAACGAGCAAGAGCTGAACCGCGAGACCATAAGCTCTAACATTGACGACCGAACTATACATGAGCTTTACCTCTGGCCCTTTGCAGATGCCGTACATGCAAACGTCGCATCAGTCATGTGCTCTTATAATAAGATCAATGGCACTTGGGCATGCGAGAAGTAAGTTCTGGTTACCAGCTCTGTTTCTTTCTTGGGCGCTACCCCAACTTTTCATAAGCGGCGGTAACTCCAAGTCTGCAAACTTCACTGCACGGCTTCGAGGGGTCGAGATTACACTTACTGTAATTGGAAATAGCTGACTGAAGATAACCTAGCCCGTACGTTATAGACACGCTCTTGAAGAAAGAGCTGGGCTTCCAAGGATACGTGATGACGGACTGGAATGCACAACATTCTACTGTCGAAGCTGCGACCTCCGGACTTGACATGACCATGCCTGGCACTGATTTCAACGGCGGGTCTCAGTACTGGGGCTCGAAGTTGACCCAGGCTGTAAGCAGTGGTCAGGTGCCGCAGTCGCGTCTCGATGACATGGTGCGCCGAATTCTGGTGGCGTGGTACTTGCTAGGCCAGGACAGCGGCTATCCCGTGACCAACCTCAAGGCGAACGTGCAAGGAACTCACAAGACAAATATTCGCGCGACGGCTAGAGACGGAATCGTCCTACTAAAGAACGAAGGAGGTATTCTCCCTCTGAAGAAACCCGGCAAGCTCGGATTAGTCGGCTCTGCTGCTGTTGCCAACCCCCAAGGAATCAACTCTTGTACCGACCAGGGATGCAACGCTGGTGCCCTCGGAATGGGTTGGGGCTCTGGAACTGCATCTTATCCGTATTTTAGCGCTCCGGCAGATGCCATTAAGACTCGAGCCCAGGCCGACGGGACGCAGATCAGCTTGTCCTCGTCTGACAGCATCAGCTCCGTGAGCTCGGCGGTCGACGGGGCGGATGCCGCTATCGTATTCGTTACTTCCGACAGCGGTGAAGGATACATTACGGTGGAAGACAATGTGGGCGACCGCAATCATCTCGATCCGTGGCATAATGGCAACGAGCTTGTTAAGGCTGTTGCTGCAGCGAGTGATAATGTGATTGTTGTCGTGCACTCCGTCGGCCCCGTCATTCTCGAGACGATTCTAGCGCAACCGAACGTCAAGGCGATCGTGTGGGCTGGTCTCCCGTCTCAAGAGAATGGCAATGCGCTCGTAGACGTACTCTACGGAGATACAAACCCTTCAGGAAAGCTGCCGTACACTATTGCTAAGTCTGCCGCTGATTACGGAATTAAAACCAGTCAAGGCAATGACGACTTTAAGGAGGGTCTGTATATTGACTACCGCAAGTTCGATAAAGAAGGTATCGCACCGAGGTACGAATTTGGCTATGGTATATGTAAGTTGGTTCGCAATCCATTTTTTCGTAGAAAAGGTCCATAACTAAATCTACTCCGCAGCGTATACCAACTTCACTTACTCCGATATTTTTGTTGATGGGCGGCCAACGGCGGGCCCTGCAACTGGGGATATCATCCCGGGAGGGCATGCTGACCTCTGGGAGACGGTAGTGACTGTTACCGCCACAATTACCAACTCGGGCGCTGTTCAAGGCGCCGAGGTAGCACAGTTATACATAGGCTATCCAGAGTCCGCCGCCACGCCGCCAAAGCAGCTTCGCGGGTTCGAGAAATTGGCCCTAGAGCCAGGCGCTGAGGACACCGTCGCCTTTGAAGTCAAGAGACGAGACTTGAGTGTTTGGGATACGGCGAAACAAAACTGGGTTGTTCCCTCGGGTATTTTCAACTTCACCGTCGGTGCGAGCAGCCGCGATATTCGACTGAGCGGCACCCTCGTGGTTCCATAATCGGAAAGGTGCAGACAAACCTCTTCCATTTACCATGTATAGGTATATACCACTCGAGATATGTATTCGATAAGAATCACTACGCCGAGGAAAATAATGATGTAAAGATCGAGTAGTACTTTCCTCAGCAGCGATGCAGCGGCTAAAGAGACACTAGAGAAGTTAGCGTTCCCTAGCCAAATGCAAGTAAAAGGACTATAAAATTAGGATTGGCTACTAGTACATTTTGGAAGAATGACGAAACTCCCAAGAACATTAAGCATCTCATGTCTTATCAATATGTATTCTTAACTCAGTTGGGCCTCGAGATATGTAATCCACAACCTTGGGTACTTTTATTCGGGGATATTTCTTCTCCTCCGCTTATTGATATGCTTAAGTTCAGAACATCGTGAAAAATGTGCAAGTGAACAATGATGACTAGGCACAGGCACCCTTGGACAATTTGCAAATAGAATACATCATCTACCACGATATTAAACATAGCAAGTACCTAGGCTAACGTCGTACAACTCGCAAGAGGCCCGCCTTCCTCCGTAGATCCCCCACTATTGACGTCTTATGGCGCTTCGGGAATCTGGGCAGTCTCAACAAATCTTGCATAGGTACTAAAGAAATCCCTGGACTTCCTTGGACTTCTCAACTCGCCGATTTCGTATGCTCTATTATGCTCAACGAGCCCGATGCCTCATAAAGCTCGTATAGCTCAACATCTTCTTTCATCGACGAGACGAACTCTTTACTCGGGCAACTTCCAAGGTATCCGCAGTTTTCCAAGGTACTCTACCGTAAGCACCGAGGGTTGGCACGCCATGTCGCAGACTGAAATTTCCAAGTACTTGAAGCAGACGCACGACCGTGTGTTCGAGCACAACCGTGCCTGGGCGGAGGAGCAAAAAAAGAGGGATCCAGAGTTCTTTGATAAGCTATCTGCAGGGCAAACCCCGGAGTATCTGTGGATAGGATGCAGCGATTCTCGAATTCCAGCTGAGCAGATCACGGGCTTGGGACCGGGAGAGGCGTTTATCCACCGGAACATTGCCAACCTAGTCGTCAACACCGATCTAAACGTCATGAGCGTCATCAACTACGCGGTCCGCCACCTGCAGGTCAAGCATATTGTAGTGTGTGGACACTATGGCTGCGGCGGTGTTAAGGCCGCCATGACGCCGAAGGACCTAGGGCTGCTTAACCCGTGGCTGAGGAACATTAGGGACGTTTACCGCCTGCACGAGAAAGAGTTAGACGACATCAAGGATGAGAACGAGCGCTACAATCGCCTAGTAGAGCTCAGCGTCGTTGAGCAGTGCCGCAACGTCATCAAGACGGCAGCTGTCCAGAAGTCGTATGCTAAGAACCACTTCCCTATCGTCCACGGATGGGTATTCGGATTTGAGGACGGTTTGCTCAAGGATCTAAAGGTCGATCACGAAGAGATGCTGCGCGGCATTCAGAAGATTTATAATCTCACGGAGTGATTGGCCCTCCATGGCAAAAGGACGGCATGTAGTATCGTCATTTCATTAATTGCGGTAACAGCGCCAGTCCGACCTGCCCTGTCAGAGCATCAGCTCATGTAGCTATAAAAGAGTCCGTAGAGCCCCGCGGCCATCTAAGCAATGTTTGAACACCTATAAATGACATGGATATCCCTTCATTATCCCTTCATTATACGTCTGACTCCTTATTCCTAGCTCTGATCCACTTCTACCTGATATGTGCGTGTGTCTAGGTTCGTCAGGATGCGCAAACACAGCCCGTTTATGCCGTACATCCGGGGCAGTCTACACCGGCCTATTGAATTATTAGCCTACGCGTCAATGCTGGTTTACATTCCTGTTGTGTATTCCTGACTGATAGTTAAATGATGTCGCGGTGACTTGCCATCTCAGATGGCCGACGCTTGGGTCCTCGAGAGCCCTCGCGAGTCCTAGCAAATCGTAGGCGATAGATATCTGTAATAATTTTTGCCTAGTGAAAAGGCAACCTTACTCGGCTCCGTCCGTGTCGCTGTTATCAGACTCCCAGAATCCATGCTCGAAGCTCTTATTCTGCCTGAAGGCAAACCGTTCCCAACTCACGCCTCTTCTGACCTTGACGCCATCATCGTTAGTTTCGTACCGCCGCGGCTCGAAATCCATCACGGCGCGCCAATTGCGAATCATCCGCCGCCAATAGCAAGCCTCGGCAGCTGGTGTGAGGTAGCGGTCTCGAAATACTTTCGCAGACTCTTTCGCGATCCGCCGCGCTCGATCGGGATCCGCCATGAGCCCATCCATCTGCGCTTTCAAGTCCGACCAATCGCGTTTTACTTTGACGTAATTCTAGCCGGCGATGTCAGTCGGGTTCCGCAACAATCAGAAGATCAAAGAAGTATACCTGGTGAGGTCCGCTGTCTTTTAAAAGGGGCTGGTAGTGAAAGATGTAATTTAGCTGATGAATTATCGGGACGCTTTCGCAATTCTGTAGGTATCGCAGTCGTCCACTCCACGAATTGCCTTCGGTATGGGCAACGTATTTAAACCGACAAAAGTCTTTCATGGCCATGATATTCGAGCGGTTATGCCAATCGATGGCCTCGACATCGTTCCAATCATAACCTTTCGAAGCCTCTACCAAAGCGGTTCGTAGCTTACGATTCACGGCCAGACTCCCGCGCCAGCACAGCTTGTCCTCTTTATCATCCCAGCCGTTAGGATATTGTGCCTCTAGCTCCGTCGCATCCTCGCGAAACTGCACGTAGGACCCTATACCATCGTCGGGATAGCTCCATCCGTCGAAGTCAGGCATGACCCATAGCCACTGATTATCCTCTTCGCGCGCCCAAGTCCATCTGATACGCTCCTCGTTCTTTTCCCCTCTGGCTGCTCTGTCTTCAATATCGAGGATGAATTCGACGTTCGGAAGCGACCGAGGGTCGGGAATAGCAGTTATAGCGCGATACATGTTCGCGAGAGCTGCGAGGCCGCGGGAGCGATCTGGCTCACCTTTCTTTTCCTTAACTATGTATAATTCGCCATTCGAAATCATAACGTGGAATTCACCGTGCGAGAGACCGGTATAATCTTTCTTTGCGTCAACCTGGACGTCCGATTCTTTGACTCGTTTATTTTGCTCTAGAAGAAAATCTCGGGCGCGGTCGAGTTCTTGGTATAGACTAGGGAATGCATTCTGTGATATGATGAGCGCCGGTATACTCCCAGTAACCAGAAACCCTAGGTCGATATTTACCTCGCATTGGCTGTCGGAAAGTCCATAATTAAGGCTGTCCCTTTTTACATCAAATGCCCAAGATTCGTCATCGGGCGGCGAGGGTATCGGGTGGGTTGGCTGCTCGACGGGTTCTCGAAGCGACTCCTCGGCGGACTCCCTGAACGACTGCCCGGTAGGAATCTCGAAGGGCCGCCTCACGTTTCCGAAGAATGATAAGGCAGTGACGATAAAGACGATGGCTAGAATCGGCCAGCGAAGGCGACGCAAGCGCGCCATGAAGGACTCGCCCTGCTGACTGCACAAAAAAAAAGACTTGTTGGCATACATTGTTAAAACGAAGGTAATAGTAAACTAGAAGAGCAGTGTAGTGGTACACCGCCAAGGCGGGAAAGGAATGCGTACCGTCAAGAGGCGGAATAATTGTTAGAAAATCATCACTTTTAGAAAATCATCACTTCGGAGGCGGCGAAAGGGAGTCGCTCATTTAAATAGGCTTTTTTTGTTCATCGTTTTGTGTGACCGTGTGACCGTGTGACCGTGTGACCGTGTTGCCCAATTTCTGAACCGATATTAGTAAAATGGGTGAAGGCAGGAAATAACTTTGAAGATTATGAAAGATAGCAGCGCTGATACGTCCGGGATGGGAATGGTATCATTGCGTGCAACCGCGTCTGCAAACCATTAAAGAGTTTGCGGTTCCGACGGCAACCTAACCCCTGGCACCATATCTAAATAAAAAGGGGTACCGTAGCCAAATGTGGTGATCGGATACCGGGAATAAGCTTAATCTGGGTTCTTCGCTATGTGCCACTACATAGGTTAGTTATAATTAACATGTACAATACCTATTCTTATCTTTACTGTCTCCCCGTTGGCCGATTGTCTAAGACATACGGTTCTAGCATCAATCGAGATCTACACACCCACCAGACTGTCAGAGACTGTCAGACCGTAATATATTATAGAGGTAACCACATATTTTTGCATATCCTGACGGAACTTAGGGTATCACTTATCGGTAACCTAGTCTATTACTTTGATCATAGTAAATATGGTTGGCGGAGTATGCACTTGGTTGATTTGATACACTCTTTACTTTAAGCTACCAATTAAACAAAAATTCCCATTAACTCAAATCCCAAAAGCTTGGTGATTCTATCAGAGCGTCATCGCACTGCTACGCTGCATTGGTTCTTGTCCGAAATTACTATGAAGCCAGCCACCATTACTTTGGTACTCAGCACCTACCTCGCTCGGTGTTGCGAGCGAAAGTCAGATTAAGCGAGCCTGTCATGATACTTCATTCTCTTATATTGAAGCGATTAGGTCTAGGCAGGTCTATTCGCGTAAGCATATTGTTGCGGCTATTGGGCTATTGGGTAGCGCCTCTGAATTGTCGTATATCATAGGAGCCAAGCCCAGCCACGCCCCGTTGGCTGCAACCATCTTACATTTTTCTTCAGCTGAATGCTATCATATATACGATATATCGAGCAGATTCCGGACGGCCGGCCCTCATAGACGAAATAGGTAGAAAAATGAACCAAGCAAAGGAAAAGCCACACCATCAACCAAAGTATTTCTCGTCAGCTAGGCGTACGATATCCTAACTACGATCTAGTTTTCGGTTTGTGATTTTTGTTTAATCAAGCCTTGATACTATCATCAGTAAACTAGTTGTTAACTACTAGATATCTAAAGTTTAACAGTTCTAACTACATACCTACCTGTTAGTAGCAACAGTGCAACCAAGTTTCAAACCACAATCAAGTATGCGTCAGGATTAAAGCCGTCCAGTCGTCTATTAATTTAACTTTTTCCAACCGGCCATGCATCGCCCCTGTGCTCTGCTCATTGCGTTTACTTCCCTTGCTATCGCTCAGACTCGGTCATCTAAACGTGGATTGGTGTTTATCCCGAACCCTGCCAACCCGGCAGATGATACAGTATGGGTTCGGTCAGGATCTGATCTGGCTTGGTACTACAATTATGAGTCGGAGCCGTCATCTACCTTTGATAACATACCCCAAGACCAGTTCGAATTTGTCCCCATGCTTTGGGGCGCTGTCGACGATACCTCCTTCCTCGAGTCTGTCCAGAGCCAGATCGACTCCGGTCGTAAAATCACGCACGTCCTCAGTTTCAACGAACCTGATTCCCGGTACGACGGCGGTAGTAATATCGAGCCCTCGAAGGCCGCGGATGTATGGATAAAGAACATAGAGCCTCTCGCTGATAAGGGGGTGAAACTGGGATTGCCGGCCTGCACTGGGGGCTGGGGAGGGATACCGTGGCTCGAACAGTTTATCGGGAATTGCTCCGAACTGATTAGCACCGAAAATGATAAAAAGAACTGTACATACGATTTCGTGACCATACATTGGTATGGGAGTTTTGAAGGGCTGGCGAGTCATATGGGCTCGTATGCTGCTGCATTTCCAAACATAACTCAATGGATTACCGAGTACAATTTCGACAACCAAGACCTCGCTACGACCCAGGCATTCTACAACACATCCTCCGAGTATTTTGACCGCATGGATTCCGTCCATCGTTACAGTTTATTTGGTTCTTTCCGGTCCAGCGATAGCAACGTTGGTCCTAATGCCGCCATGTTAAACAACGACGGGCAGCTAACAGATATCGGCTCATGGTATCTAGGTATGAGTAGCACGCACGTTGACCCTCAGTCGGGGGCGGGGAGAACTCATATAACCGTAGCAAGTGCTGTAGTTCTTATGTTGGCTGGTGGTATTTCCTTTATACTGTAACACTAGAGCTCTCCTTTGCTTAACCTTGGGGCGTTTTGGAGATTGAGACGAGTATGTAGAGGGGGGGGGTTCTTGTTATCCAGGTACATATGTGTACTTGAAATGTTTTAATTACATAACAGCAAATACCTCTAGATTTGAGGGTTAATTGGCTAGGTTACTATTTTGTAGTAAAGCTGCAAGCCTGTGAACTAGGTTTCTACTTTTTGTCGGGATGTATGTTATGTATAAGACTTTGATTTTGATTCATAACTCCTTCAAACTAGTGGCCGGGGGAACAATATATGTCACACCCGGCATAAAACGATCTACGTGTAGTCTCTACCTATGTACCCCGGACTTTTACAAGTGGGAGGATGTATGCGTGGTAGGTAGGCAGGTACGTAAAGTACTAAACCTAACCTACCTAAACCTACCTAAAACGTGCGGGTGAAATTACCTAGCTTCTCCCCGCGGTACAATACCATAATAACGGCCCCAGAGTATGGGGTACGGAGTCAGGGACCCCACCGACATATCTGCCGATGGCCGAGGTGACCAAATCAGGCCTCGGCAAAATGAGACAAACACATCCCCTGTATCCCTTGTACCCCCCTGTAACTAACCTCGATTAAACCCTTTCAAGCTTCTCCTCTGCGGCGCAATCCATTCATTTATTCGTTCTTTATCAACTCCAGACAATGCCACTCGCCATTGATTTAAGCTAGTGATATTCCTTTCCTCCTCCCACCATCTTCCTCAGTTGTTTCAACCATATCAGATAGTATATACCAGTTAGTATATACCTCCATCTGTCAAGACCATCTTTCAAGATGGCTACCGAGCGGGTCAATTCCATTTTGAAGCACCTATCCCCCAGCTCACCTTTAGCTGCCATGTAAGTGGGCGACGGGTGTTGGATTAATCTGACAGGTAGATGAGGAGGAGTAGGAGTCGTAAACTAACTTTGCTCGCCAATTTAGCACCTCAAAGAACCCGGACGATGTAGTCATCACGCTCGCGATCCGGACGCCGCTTTGCAAGGGCAAGAAGGGCGGGTTCAAGGATACGTCCGTCGAATACCTCATGTATGCCATCTTGAAGGCCGCCCGGGAACGTCTAGTCTTCTCGCCGGATCTCGTAGAGGATATCTGTATGGGTAACGTATGTACCAATATCTGCCACTCGCGGCACCGAGCTAAGAGACAACCGTTTTAACTTGTTTCTTTCCATTAGGTCTCGGACAGCAAAGCAGCCTACAAGGCCCGTGCCGCAGCCCTCGCCGCCGGATTTCCTAATACGACAAGCGCCTCGTCCGTCAATCGGTTTTGCTCCTCGGGACTGAAGGCCACAGCCGATATTGCCCACCAGATCGCTGCTGGCTCGATCGAGATCGGTATCGCTGCTGGTACCGAATCCATGAGTATAGGAGGCGATAATCTCGAACAGCCTTTCGACGAAGAGGTGACTAAGCATAGCCAAGAAGCCGTCGACTGTATGATGGCCATGGGCTGGACGAGTGAGAATGTGGCCAAGGATTTTGGCCTGTCCCGCAAGGTCGTCGATGAGTATGCGGCCGAGAGCTTCAGGCGGGCTGAGCTAGCTCAAAAGGCTGGCCTTTTCGACGACGAGATCGTGCCTATCACCACCAAAGTGAAGGGGCCCGACGGCGAGCTGAAGACGGTTACGTTAACGAAAGATGAAGGTATTCGACCAGGGACGACGGCTGCCGGGTTGGGGAAAATCCGGAATGCGTTTCCTCAATGGGGTCCCATCACTACGGGAGGCAATGCCAGCCAAGTCACCGACGGCGCCGCGGCAGTAGTGCTCATGAAACGTTCCAAAGCCACCGAGCTCGGTTTACCGATCTTGGCCAAATATGTCGGGTCGACTGTTGCCGGTCTGGCTCCTAGGATCATGGGTATCGGACCAACCGTAGCGATCCCAAAGTTACTTAAGCAGCACAACATTACTCTCGATGATGTTGACGTGGTGGAGATTAACGAGGCGTTTGGAACAATGGCCGTATACTGTAGGGAATACCTCAAATTAGACTGGGCCAAGATGAATCCTCGAGGAGGCGCCATCGCGCTTGGCCACCCTCTCGGCACGACAGGCGCCCGGCAGATCGTCACTGGTCTAAGCGAGCTTAGGCGGACTAAAAAGAAGATTCTATTGACGAGCATGTGTATCGGAACGGGAATGGGCATGGCTGGCCTATTTGTTAACGAGCAATGATACTCGTACGCGATAGATACCTTCGATTTTAGATAAGCTCACAGCAGGGAGAGAAACGTTGGAATTAGATGTTATTCCTACCTATCCACAATCGATACAGATACAGATACATGTAATCAATTCTAGTATATGCGCCATGTCACTTTGCCATGTCCTGCGCGGCTTACAACCAAACTTGTGTTATAATCTTCTTACTAGGTAGCATTGTGTGGTATAGTAGCAATGGATTTAAATCTCCGGATACAAGCAGGCCTCTCACCTGCTAGGTTAAGGTGTTACTTGACCGTGGGAGTCATTATTGTTAGGGGGTATCATGCCTTAGTATTTCTACTACATAGAACGTAATTACTAGTACCATTACATTCGGTCCAACAGCATCCGCAACCCGCATGTCCTTGTGTCCTTGTCTCCTAATCCGCTCATAGAAGTTTGGCAAATGCCCAATTGATATCGACATCGTGAGACTTCTTCAACCCGCCCTTCAGCCAACAGGTGTGCTGGGTCCCCGTATCGCCTTCGATATAGCCCCAGCCGCAACCAGTACACCCAGCAGTCCCGGCACAGTTTTTCATGCAGTCCAATATGCTCTCCGTAGGAACCTGGCGCAGATTTGTTGACTCATTGTCGCTATAATCTATACCGCAAATTCGTAAGAATCGCTTATCGGAACCGGGAACTTGGTAGGTAGTCCCGTTGGCAGCCGGGCAGTCAATCTTTCCTTCGAAATTGCCGGTAGGGGTGGAACTCGAAGAGGTACTAGTCTTCGAGGGGCTAGAGGTGGACGTCGTCGAGATGCCGGTATTTGCAGGAGTGGTTGAGCTTGAGGATAGGCTAGAAAATATTAACACAATATAAGCATGGATGTATTTAAGCTTGCCCCTGTATAGCGACGAATTCAGGCATCACGAACCTTGTCGATGAAGTGGCACCGGCACCGGCACCGGCACCGGCACCGGCAACAGCAGCAGCAGCTTCATTAGAACTTTGAGACACCCCTCTACCGACCCCGACACCAACCCCGACACCGATTGCAACGACTAACAGGAGCGATATTAATGCCAACAGCCACCAGAATTGGGTTCTCTTCAGCCCTATTATTCCCTTCTCTCCTGGAGGCGTCTGTCCACGGAGCGCGGCGGGAGGCCTGTCCCCTCCAGCGGACGACCCTTCGTCGGAGGGTCGCGGGCTGCTAGGAGGTGTCGCATCGCCTAACCACGTGGATGGTAGGCGTTGACGCCTTTCAGGATTAGAAGAAGGCGCAAAATAGGCCCGTGACGCATTCTTCAGCTCGTTAAAGTCGCGATTGGCGAAGAAATCGAAGCCGCGAAACTCCAATGGTGATGATTTATCCGCCTCCCATTTTCCTGCTCCTGTGGTTATATTCGTCGTCACCGCCGCTCGCGGTGCCTTTTCTGCTTCTGCGGTGACCTTGTGTTTTCCTAGGGCAGCTAAGGGTGGCTTCGGGCGGCCTGGAACGGCAGTGGCCAGTTGGTCGGACGGCGCCATTAGAGTCGTCTATCGTCGAAATTGACCATTACCGAGAAGTAGGCATTATATTACTATAGGCTGTATAAAGAAGGGCTGGAGCTTAAAGCAATTGAAATGATCGGACGGCGGCAAATATGCTCGCCTACTATGACAGTACGCAATAGCGAACGGAAATGGGGGAGGACGAGGGATGAGGTGGGATTCCGAAGGATTGTTATCACTGCTGTATTTAGATGTCGCTTTAATATTAAGGGGGATTTACCGATAGTACGTAACAATAATTAGCTATACCCCATTCATACATCAGCCGAGAATTCAAGTATTGATATTAGTACGGATTAGTCGGGCATGTAAATGTAGTCGTTGACACCTGTCAAGTTTATATTCATCAATTTCCATTTCTAGCAGATTTGCATTCAAGTTCGTCTTCTTTATACCTACGACATACACCGTATACACCCTCAAGCCAGATATCTATTACAGATTACCGAGAAATATTCGGGGACATAGAAGGTAATACGCAGTTGTAAGTGTTCTATCCTACCTCGGGGTTGTCACACTAGAAGGGACGAGACTAGGACATCTTTAGCTATAGCCGAGCTTTGGCGTTAGTTTGCTAACCCTAGATCGAAGAGCTAGAGTTAACTGATATACCTAGGTACCCTTCATTAGATCATCTCATGCTTAAGGAGGATATTGGCGAACGTAGATACTCTGTTTAAAGTCTATGAAATATTACCTACTCTTACAATAAAACGAAGAAAAAGAGTCAAGATAAACCTAAAGCTAACTCATAACAAGCTGATAAAAGATGCTAGCCAGCCCGTAACTGTATAACCGAGTCTAATAAGCTTGAAATATTTGTGTAAAATGGATTGATTAGTTGTATATTTCAGTCTTCCGGAGATGCTCTTTCAGGTCAACTTTATCATAAAGAACATTGTGAAAATAAAACTCCCCGTACCTAGGTACCTCCGAAAGAGAACCTTGGTGGAATCCTCTTGATTGGTCAAAAATTTAACATTGGTCTGTGCATATGCATCTATGTACTACCTACCTACCTACCTACCTAGGTAATGTGGGTACATTACGCAGGTACTCTTCATGCAAGTTTAAGATAAAGTTGCAATTGGAGAAATGCTCATCTCCAGTCTCCAGCTACGTGTTATTTGATATCACCACTTCTATCGCTATCTACATACCTACATGTACCTAATTTAGGTACCCGACAGCCATCTTCCTTAGGTCGATTTCCAACTGATCTTTGAACAAGGAAGAATAAACGTGCGCACGAAAAGCTCCTAGTATCTTCTATCAAAATGGTATTACTCCTTTCGAACTCCTTGCCTGCTATTCTAGAGCATGCCTCTTATTGACGTCTCCTAGAATACGCAATTCAACGCTGCGCTCAAGCAGTCCACCTCTATAAAGCGAGACCTTGCCGGTCTATCGTCATCCGACGGCGCACCTCCCACACCCGCGGCGCTTGGTTCTCTCTCCGCGTCGCTGACAGCTTTTTCGCGAACTCTCGACGAGTACAATGCGCTTGCAAAGCAAGAACTAAATCCGGCAAAACAGGAAAAGGCTCATGAGCGGATTAAGAATTTTCGAGCGGAGCTCTCTTCGTTCCGGACGCAGCTGGACGAACTGAAGACGCAACGAGAAGATACGCTACACGCTCAGAACCGAACTGAGCTGCTTGGTCGGCGACCCTTCACCACCTCTACCCCCGAAAACCCGTACGCAAACACGCCGACACCACCGCAATCTTCATCTTCCCCTTCGGTCCCTGCAAACCGCTATGGAAGCGGTGGCCAGTTAAGCATGGGTAGCAACGACTATACGCGGGAGACGCACGCTTTGCGGGAGCAGAACTTTTTCGCGAGTACGAATACAGCGCTTGATGAGTATATCGCGCGGGGTCAAGCCGTACTTGGGGACCTGGGTACGCAGCGTGAGATGTTGAAGAATACGCAGAAGAGATTATACAGTGTCGCCAACACGCTCGGCGTTAGTGGGGACACGATACGCATGATCGAGAGAAGAGCGAAACAAGATAAGTGGATCTTTGGCGCCGGTGTGATAAGCTTCTTTGGGTTTTGTTGGCTGTGTCTACATTTCCTCCGATAGGATGGACGGGTAGACACCGAGGAAAATTAAATTTTGACAATGGAGAACGTTGTGGAGGCTTGTATCGTGAGTTTAAGCATCAGTTTTGACGTTTAGCATGGAGTTTTGGCGTTATTCTAAACTATATATAGGTAGGTAGGTTCTATGCCTTTGGCGCCTAGGCTAACCTGCCTTCCACTTTTCTCTGCCTCTTATTCTAACGAAAGAGGCAGAACTTCTAATTATATATATCTCTCCCGAGAGTCGAAGATATGCTTTAGTTGCGGCGATAATATATCCCATCCTATTGCTATCCGAGACTTTGTTCAGTCGTGAACGGCCCACGAATATGCAATGCAGGCTGTTGATGAGTTTCTACTTTCTGCCCTATTTTAATGCGATGGTGAAAAGTACATCCTTCGTAGTCTCAACTTCAATAACTTTTGTCTCAGGTAAAATATGATTGCTTGTGCTCATCTGCCCACCAAACTCGGTTGGCCAGTTCTCGACATCCCACTCAAGGCCCTTGGTCGTGATTACGCTCGGCTCTTTGACCGGGACGATGCCGACGTACTTGGCGAACGGCTCGCCGCTCATGCGAGCGAAGTCGCCAACGGTGGCATCAGGCTCGCGGACGTGTATACGATGCTTTCCAGCCTTGAGAAGGAAAGACAAGCTCTCGCCGGAAAGCAAAAACATCTTCCCATCTGCGTAGGTTGGTGAAGTTTGGAATAAGTATAGATGATGTATTTGGCTCAACCCTTGATCAACGCGCCCTCCTAGTCCGCCCATACATATGATGTCTCTCTTTGGAAACTCCATACGAACGAACTTGACAGCCTTGGCGAAGTCGGTAGAATACTGATCTGATTCGAAAATAATAGTACAATCCGCGGGCTTGGTGGTGAAAAAACTTCTGGACTCATCGGATAGAGAATCTAGGTCGCCAATTATGGTATTAAGATTCACCTATACGACTGTTAGCCAGACAGGCAGGCAGCGCCTCGGATGAAAGAGAATCGCGGCTAAGAGCCTTAGAATATATCTCTTGTATCCTTCTACTTACATAGTTACCACTAGCAGAAGACTCGGAATCTTTCTCTGTTAATAACGATCTTCGGTTAAGATCGTAAATCTGGTTGGCACCCCCATCAGCAGCGACGCGTGTTTGAGCTACGATATAAGTCGGTATGGTTACACGTGAAGATTTTTTTTTTTTTTGAAAGGGCGATATACCTATTCTCCAGAGATCTCTAAACAAGCCCTCGTCGCTGATCGGCTGGTTTAGAATGATCAGAGCGAAGTCATACCCCGGGTAAGATAGGAACTGTCTGATAGGATACCACTCGGTGCATATATTAGGGCTTTCTTGTGTCGAGCCCATGCTGATATATTTACAAGAGGCAACTGAAAGGCCTTCTCGCTGGTAGGAACCTGGCCGAATGCTTACACCAGTGACAAGTTTTTAAAAAACAAGGTCGAACACAAAACTTGGGTTTACTGATTCGATTGCATTAGGTAGTATGTCAATGTTAATGTTGCTCTCTAGGTAACCTTGAATCTCCCAAAATGAAATGACAAAGTGGGCAAATGGTAGAACCTGATGAGCTGTTTGTGTTAGGTGGGTAAGCGAAGAGAATAAGGACTCAAAAACAGAGAGGGGTGAGAGAGACTTGATGAAATTCGGAAACTAACCGACTTTACTTTACAATAATATCGAATAATAAGATCTAATAGGAATCAACGAGTTTCATTTCATACCTACATGCAGGTAATTTAGTGAAAACTCGAAGTGAAAAGTGTACACCTCGATTGGGACGTACTGACTTTCATTCACATGCAAGCAAGGTACCTAGGTACTAATGCATTACCAAATAACGTCACTTGAGGCTACAACTACATGGGACGCATTGACATGGAACCTATACAGATTAGGTACCTATATACCTAAGGTAGGTAGGTAGGTAGGTAATCTAGATTTACCTCATAAGGCCCGGGCACCTGCAGTTAAGTGGTTAGGTGTAACCCCACCCCGAATTTTAGCGCGCAGAGGTTTCTCGGTCATTATACGAAGTAGACCGATCCTTATCTGGATTCAATTCAAAAATTTAGAAGCGGGCAATTCTTAATATCGGTGCTTCATGCTTACAAACCAGTCTTCGAAACCAGTCTACCTATTTGTTCTCAGCTTGTTTTCCGCGCATATTTCTTCTTACCCATCAAACCGGCTTAGGAGCTCATACGCTCTTTAATATCCCTTCCTCATTCTTTTGGCCGTTTTTTCACGTATAGCTCGCCGGTAACATGTACAGATCCGCCTTGCGATCCGCGCCTAGAGTCGCAAATAAACTGCGACCAACTATCATTTCGCCGAATGCACGGCGCTTTGCTTCAACTTCCCCTACAAATAATAAACGAAGTTGGAAGAGTTCGGCTGTGAGATGGGGTCTAGCTGCGGGTATTGTGTATTGGTATAGCACCAGCGCAGTCTTTGCCGAAGAACCACTGCGTATGCGAGCCCAGTTTCTCTGCCGCGATTTAACATTTTCCTGTTTTTATTAACATGTCATGCGGGTGATTAGCTAGAACATTACCGCCGCCACCCCAGTTCTCAGATGAGGACCTCCCTACAGTAGAGGCCGTAGTCGCACAGAAGCGTCGAGAAGCCGAAGCACGACTGCAGAAAGCCGCATCAGCCCCCGAACCACCAACAGCTTCCCTGCCATCCGAGATATCCCCTTCTGCACCTGCTAAAGATGTCGAGACGCAAGATCAAGCTACCTATCCGGAAGGAAGCCCCGAAGCTTTAGAAGAAGAGGCCGGTCAACAGGGAGCGTTCAACCCGGAGACAGGCGAGATCAATTGGGACTGCCCTTGTTTAGGGGGGATGGCTCATGGACCTTGCGGTGAAGAATTCAAGGCGGCATTTAGCTGTTTTGTCTACTCTAAGGAAGAGCCAAAAGGGATGGACTGTATTGATAAATTCCAGTACGGCCTATTTTGGTGTACATAAGGATGTTCACTGTATCAAGCTAACAGATGAAACAGGCACATGCAAGACTGCTTTCGGCTTCATCCCGAGGTATACGGAGAGGAACTGGATGAGGACGAAGCTCCCGCAGAAGGCAGTCCTGAAATTGCAACGGAGAAACCCGCTGCCAAGACATCACATGGTGAAAATAGCACAGTAGCGAAAGTAGAAGAGACGACACCAGCTAAAAAGTCAGCTAAGGCAGATGCGGAGACCGCAGAGGTGCTAAAGGAAGCTGAGAAGCAGAACGTGCCCCCGGCGCGACCCTAATAAGTATAGACCTCGAGCTCTTCGGGCATTTGACGTACTCGGGTATTGTCTCATGAAATAGATATCTGGAGCCGTACATTTTGTACAACATAATACCGGTTGCGTTATCGTAACTGCTAAGTGTATATTATAGGGCACATGAGATACGGCGAAATGAACCAAGCAACTCTCTCAACATAAGGTTTTTTTATTTTTTTATTTTTTATATATACCTTGAGATACCTATCTGACTCTCAGCCTTATTCTGGGAGTGGTGGGTTAATCAAGGATTAAGCGGTCTAGTATTTGGAGGCCGGGTCTTGCGACAGGGAACCCTTGATGTGTTGCTGTTGTGTTCTCGGCCTTTTTATTTTCGATGCAATGATCAAAGAGGTATGGAGTGCGAAGGCCGTGGAAGGCCATGCTGACACCTGGGGTAATCCCCACACAGTCTATAAGACGTTAAGTTAATGGACTATCATGTATAAGTTCCCCTGTTCACCTCCAACTCCAGCTCTTAATTCCAACTTTACCTGCCTCTAAATCCAATATCTCGTCACCCATCCCCAAACTTCAAGACGAACGCAGCCCGGCTGTAAATCCTATTCTTACGAAATACCTAGGAGTCCTATCCAGACCTGCTGTATTAACCCAGATACAGGTTACTACTTCTTACAGCCACCCTACGCATGGGACATGACAGCACCACATGAAGGAGATAAAATCAGTCAAGCTAGTTCTTCAGCGAACGATACTTGTCAAATTCGTATTGGTATCGCTGCAGAAGACCATATAGCTGCCATAGCCCCGCCGCGAGCCAAGCGGGCACAGGTTGCCCGAGCCTGCCAGAGATGCAGAAGACTACAGAAAGCCTGCAGCGACTCTCGCCCGTGTCGACGGTGTACCAAGGCTGGGCTTGCTGATGAATGCAGCGGGTTTCCCGTCCAATCCCGAGTTCTAACCCGGGCCCGGCCTACTAAAACGCCAAGGCTCGCTAAGATACCAGTAGAAGGAGGTGTAAAGCCGTTGAACTTTACTACGCCTTCGCCATTTATCAAATTTGACCTGCCTACGAGTCCGCAAGCATTTACCAGTTTTTCAAGGCAGTCGTTTGACAGAAAGGTAGACCTGCTGCCACCTCGAGTAGTTGAGTATTGTTCTGGGCGCTTCTTCGAACGCCTCGCCCCGACGATCCCGATCGTGACGCCCGAGTACGTCGCCAATCTTAGAACGCGGCTCGCCTCGGATAGCGAGGCTTACTGCGTTATACTTGGCTTGTGCGCCATGGTAACGTTGCAGGTTGAGGATCCCAACGGTAAGTCTTTTGGGAAATCTGTTACGGCTGAGAATAATGCCGCATACGGCTGGATGCTTCTCGAGGAGGCTTTAGCAGCTCACCGTTATCTTACACGGAGATCGAACCCCTCTCTAGACTCGGTTCTACTCGTGTTCTTTATATACGCGTGCCACGCAAGTTTATTCCACCATTCTCAGGCCTTCTTCTTCCTTCGCGAAGCCGCCACGCTCTTCATCCTAATCAAGCCGGAGACCCTAGATGATCTTTCGAAGCTGCTAGCCGAGAGACTTTTCTGGGTTCTGCTCATTTCTGAGAGGTCTCATGCGATCCGTTACCGGCGCCCTTCTACGCTTCAGGTAACTACCAACGGCTTCGGGTTATCATTCTCTAGGGATCGTGAACCCTCGCTAGCTGGTTTCCGGTGCTTAGCTGCTCTCTTTCGTTCCCTGGATACCAATTTCATAACTCTGCTCAACCAAGAGTCAGCTCCGGGTGCAGTTCATGTTAATTCGTTTGACGAAGCCGAGTCGGCCATCAATGCGGCGTTGAACCACACGTGTCCATCTGACCTTCTCCCAACGCAAAAGGCTAATCTCAGGGTCACGCAACTCTGGCTCCGCATCGTGCTCTGGCAGTTACGGTTGCGTTTGGGTCATCTCTCGGAGCAGAATATGCGGAGTAGCCGCACGTATCACTATCCGCTAGACGTAGCAAAGGACCTAGCACTTTCGACCCGCGATTTACCTGTACATAGCATCCAGGTACATGGAGTAGGTATAACGGAGAAGTTGTTCGATATTTCCTGCGCTGTGGTTAACGTCCTCGCACGTGTGCCCATACAGAATACTAGGACATCGGCAGATGACGATTTAAAGTATCTAAGACGGCTAATCCTGCAACTTCCTGGCGGTGCAACAGTCTACGACGCTTTGCTTTTAAAACATATTCAACAGACGTTACCCACAATGGTAGCCGGGATAGAAATATAGTAACCTTAACCGAGTTTGCATCGCACGGGTCTCTAGATAAGATGGAGCAAGAAATCCGAATCTCTGAGAAGTGCACCCTTGATGGCGCCGAAATTTAAAAGGCGCTACGTACTTTCTATTAGCATATTAACTACGATACACTGGGTATGTTCAATCCAACTCAGCATCTGCAGTTATGCTTGGTCTATCTCCTTCCCTGGCTTTCCGTCTGTCGATACCCTCTTGATAGCATCGTCACCCCGCTGTGAGAATGGGTCTATCTTCGTCTTGGAAAAGTTGCGTGCTGGAACGTGATGCTCGAAGAGCAGGTCTAATTCGGCGTATGTTCGTCCTAAAATGTAGAGAAGCATGTCAGTCTTAATCTGGTCTGGTAAAAACCAGATATCATACGGCGTGATGATATATAACACGTCGTACCTTTAGGTTCAGGTAATCGAAAAAAGACCCAAATGGAAGATATCAAACAGGTCCCTGCCCAAAAAAAAGCTGTTTTTGCGCCCCAATTCCAGGCTGTGGATGAGAGCTGATAATTGGTCATGACATTGACGAAGATATTACTTGCATTGTAAGCAGCACGGGCGAGGACAATCGTTTTAGCCTTCAGTCGTGTCGAGGATAACTCCGAGATCAAAGAATATGTGACGGGTCCGACCGTGAAGTCGTAAACGAACGTGAATACAATCAACATCCCACCGATCGCCCACACGGAGCTATTCGTCCCAGGAAACGAGAGAGAACCGACGATAATCAGAATGAGAAGCTGACAACAGAGTCCGCTAAAGTGGATGGTACGGCGACCCATTCGAGACACTTGGGCAACAAGAGTCAGCAATAACCAATTTCGCTACGCCAGAAAATAGGGATGTGACCGTAGATACCACATACTGAGGAACCAGGAGCCGGCTGTACCAACCATACCCAGTGCGTATTGTCCCATAGAAAGAGAGAAGGAGTTGGAAGCGTCCAATCCTGCCTGGGTTCTGCAACATGTCAACTCCAATCCCGAGCTATCTCGACTGCATTCGACTATGATTAGGATTAGGACCTTACAGGAAGTAGGGAAAATAACCCATAAGGTTTTGACCTCCGAGCGTCTGGACGAGCCAGATGCCGACGACAATTTCGGTCCTTCGCAGATCAATTCCCCTGAAGCAATCTCGATAGGTGAGGCCTTGCTTCGTCCGCTTCTCAAGCTCGTTAGTGTGTTCGATCATTGCGATAGTCTCATCCGCATCGAAGCTCAGGTCATTTGGCGATGTTAATCTCAACAAAGACACCCTGGCCGCCTCCCGATTCCCGTTTCGAATATGCCACCACGGAGATCTAGATGCTAAGTTAACCATATGTAATATTTTTGTGGTTTTGTGCTTGATAACTCACTCCGGGACGAATACCAAGCCGGCAAGAATAGGCACAGGCCAGACCCATTGGACTCCAAATGGAATTCTGTATGCCCATTCGTCAAGGCGACCGACGGACCCTTTGTTCACGGCGGCCGCAAAGAATTGGCCAATCACCCAGCACATGTTAATGAATGTTGTCAGGTATGGCCTAAGGACGACGGGAGCGACTTCAGACGCGTATGCTGGAGCAGCGGACTGAAAGGCACCCCAGGGGATACCTAGGTAGCTATTGTCAGTCTTGGAGGAACATAAAAAACCGGGTCGATTAGGTACTCACCGCATAGTATTTCACCTATAACAAGAACTTGTACATTAGGGGCGAAGAACAGCACGAATATGAACATGATCATCAAGATTAGAAACCCGATTGTCGTGATCTTATACCCATAGCGGTCCGATGTCCAACCAGCAAGGATGAGGCCGAGGATCTCGCCGGCACGTGCGCCGTTGGATAATCCTGACTGCCACGCAGCGGACAATACCCATTTGTCCTTGTCCACGCTGTAAGTGCCGAATTTCTTGTTAAATGCTGGTGAGGCATAGAGGCTACTTAGTAGCGCCAAGTCATAACCTTCCATGATGAGCGTGGATGAAAACAAAACAGACCAAGCGATGGCCTTCGGGTAGAGCTTGATAGCCTCGAAAAGTGACATTTTCTGCTCAACATCCGCAGCGTGCTTAGCCTCCGAGACATGTGTTTCGTCATGCAGCAAGTCCTTGCCCTCGGTTTGCTTATTGTCCTCCTCTATTGTACACACGTCTTCTTTTTCGGTTGCCATATTTTCTACTGATAAATAATTTCTTTGCTGTTTTGACGAAGATAGTCTCCTTTCTCGGTTGAAGAGTGTTCTTATTGTGTTTGTGTGGCTTGGTGGGTTGAGAGTATTGCAAGTAAGGACGCCATCGTGTCTATTTATTCCCTCTCCTAAAGGCTAGCCAGCCTTGTTGCTCTCTACTGGATGAATCGGGGTCTATCTAATTTCTCAATGGTCTAGGCTCCGCGTGGGGAATGGAGACACGGTCAGCTCGTGCGGGGTGAAGCCGGGGGAGCTGGGCAGGCTGGGGACGGTCTCGAGATACCATCCCATCGCTATATCATTAACCTAGTCTTTTATCTTTCCCCTGTTGTTTAGCATTACACTCCGGCCTTAAAGTGGATTGGAGTTCTGGCGGAGTCCACTACTGGGTTAAATTTGACCCGACTGTGCGGACTCGATCCAAATATAGAAAAGATTTAATTATGCGCACCGCCACTCTATGCCGTAGTCGGCTGCAAATATACAGATACTATCTTGTCTAATGGATCGCCGAGTTTACCTAATTTCTCCTCTCCTCTCCAGACCTCGTGTATTTTTTTTCCTAGGGAGCGGAGTAGTTTCACACATACAGAGGTAACATGAATGGTTTATATCATAGGAACGGGTGGTTTGGCAAAGAACCGTGGTGGAAAGATGCTACTTTCTATCAAGTGTATCCGGCAAGTTTTAAGGACTCCAATGGCGACGGTTGGGGAGATATTCCGGGACTTATCTCCAAGATCGAATATCTCAATGAACTGGGCGTCGACGTGGTATGGCTTTCGCCCGTTTTTGAGAGCCCCCAGGCCGACATGGGTTACGACGTGTCAGACTACCAGAAAATTTATGCACCTTATGGCACCATTGACGACGTGGATGAACTAATAGAAGCATGTCATGCTCGAAACATGAAGTTGATTCTCGACTTGGTGGTGAACCACACTTCTATCGAGCACAAATGGTTCAAAGAGTCCCGTTCGTCGAAGACCAACCCGAAGCGCGATTGGTACATCTGGAAACCACCGCGATATGATCCAAAAGGGGAGCGGGTTCCGCCGACAAACTGGCGAGGTTACTTCGCTGGCTCTACTTGGACTTGGGACGAGCACACCGAGGAGTACTATCTCCATCTATACGCGCCTGATCAGCCGGACTTAAACTGGGAATCGGAAGCGTGCCGCGAAGCTATCTACCAGGACACCATGCGCTTCTGGCTTGAACGAGGCGCTGACGGGTTCAGGATCGACACTGTTAATAAATATAGCAAGCGCACCGAGTACGTGGATGCGCCAGTTACAGATCTAGACTCGCCATATCAGCCAGCGCCGGAGATGTGGTGCAATGGACCAAGAATCCACGAGTTCATCCACGAGATGCGGACTAAAGCGCTCGCGCCCTATGGGGCTGTCTCTGTCGGAGAGCTTTCTAACACGCCGGACCCAGGTCAAGTTTTGCCGTACGTTTCGGCAGCGGCACGGGAACTTGACATGGTCTTTGAGTTCTCTGTGATTCGATTAGGTACTGGGGGCATGTTTGGGCCAAAGTACATACTCGTGCCGTTCACCCTACAGCAACTGAAATCAATCGTAGCAAAATGGCAGACATTCATCGAAGGCACAGACAGCTGGACGACTGTGTTCTGTGAGAACCATGATAACGGACGAGCCGTGAGCCGGTTCGGCGATTGTTCAACGCCGGAGTTATGGGAGGCGAGTGCGAAAACCATAGCTCTCTGGCAAGCCACATTGACAGGGACGTTGTTCCTATACCAGGGCCAGGAGATTGGTATGACAAACATGCCGACGACTTGGGGGATAGAAGAGTACAAAGACGTTGAGAGTCTCAACTTCTATGCCGAAGCATTAGCATCTAAGGACCAGAAGAGAATGGCAGACACTATGCGGGGTCTGGGTATTCTTGCTCGTGATAATTCGCGTATCCCTTTTCAATGGGATGACTCTCCGAATGCAGGGTTTTCAGATAAAAGTGTCAAGACATGGATGCGTGTTCACGACGCCTATCCAGAGGTTAACGTCAAGAAGCAAATATCAGACCCTAATTCCATATTAAGTTTCTATAAGACGGTCTTGAAGCTGCGCAAGAAATATAAGGATATATTCGTCTTGGGAGCTTTCCGGCTCCTGAAAGATGATGACGAGGCAATATTCGCATACGTGAAAGAAAGCCCCTTTCGAATATCGGATTCGCGAGCGTCGGCGGACGACTGTTCTTCCCGTGGCTGCGAGAATAAGAGAATGGCGGTAGTGGTTATGAACTTCTCCAGGGATGAACGAGATTGCCTAGACGTTAGAAGCATCCTAGGTTGTGGTGACTGGAATACGGCGCGATTGCTAGTTAATACACAATATCAAGACAATAGGGGCTCGATTCTTGGGAAGGATACTATACCGATGGCTTTAAAACCATGGGAAGGGCGCGTCTACGTCAATTTCAACTTGGATGATGTCGTATAAGCATATAGACGAAAGAGGAATAAGGGATCAATAAGTACTGAGTACTGAGGGTCACCGAAAGCTATATATATAAATTAAATCCTTCAATTTTGTGGGTGGTTATTTCATCTATTTAACATCAAGAGGAAATAGTATTATATGTTTCTTATAAGACTTTCGATTAAGTGACAATAGTGGTTTATATACATGTCATAAGGTATATGCAATTAAACCCCCATCCAAGTCTCCGCCTGTTTTCGTGCATATATGCAGGTGAATGGAGCCGCGAATACGTCATTCGATTATGTACATGGACCGGGGTAGGTAGGGCAGGCACAATCGTCACGATCATTTGTTCATATATGTTGTCACGGAATACGTTAGGTTAGGTACATTAGGTACATACGATATCTCCCACCTTCCAAGGTTCTTTTCATTGTCGCACTGCTTCTTCTTCACCCTTTCTCAACATCACACCATACATCATCGACCATTCACTCGATCCGACCTCAATATTACTATCAATACTCTTCTACCTCACTACTTCTTGTTCCACGACGCAAGTCGTCAAGTCACCGTTGACTCGCATTTTACTACTAAAAGTTTCGATAACGTAGATCAAGAGTAAGACCCCATGCTTCGACATCGCTTGTCTACGAGGATGAATATGTACATAAGCTAACATGAACCTTCCATTATAGTGTCGTATGCTGCCGCGGCTGCGTCTGGTCCGAGGCAAACGCCTGAGGAGGTAAAGCAATATCCCTCTAGCAGATCAATATATGATCCAGGTTAGGTACCTAACATAATTATTCTCCAAGGCTGCAGCTCCTCAACCTCCCGAGATCATATCTTCTGAGTCCGCAAGCACCTCGTCCCTTGTCGACGTCGATACGCCCTCGGTGCGCACCGTACCCTCCGACTTCGGGGAACAAGAAATCCAGACCGAGACTCAAGCTGCTCGTCAAGAACTAGAGGATGCTACCGAGCGCGCGCGCGCTGAGGCTCATCTCGCCAAGAAGAAGGGCACCGGGAAAGCACGAAAAGCCGATAGCATTCTCACCCAATGGTTTGCCAATTTAAGCGATGGTGCCAGTACAGCCCTCGTCGTCTCCAATCTGGCTGCCGTTGTAGGACTTAGCGCGTACTTGGGCTTCAAGGCTTGGGGCTTGTATGAGCGCGGACGCTTAGGTTGGAAGAGCGTTGGTATTGGTGCAGGTATCGTGACTGGTGTTGGTCTGATAGAAGGAATCCTTGGAGGGTAAGTGATTATTTTTCTTGGCCATTTTAGACATTTGCAATCTAGTTCGTAAGCTGACCATTCGCAGATATCTCTACAGGGGTAAGAAGAAGCAGTCATAGGCGACCTCATGTTACGGTATAATATGTTATGGCTGACGATCTTCACGCGTTATGAGGTTGCGGAGTAATGAATACTGGCAGCCCAATAGCTCTCTACTCGTGATTTCATAAAGGTTCCGTTGCACCTAACCTAGTATACTTCTCATTAACTACATAAATTCGAAATACTGCATGGGTTGTCTCAATTCCCTGCTATTACCTGAGTATTAGGTGCTCTTTCACTTAATTCAGGGCGGATATGCTCAAAATAGTCTGTGTCAACTGCTTTGGCGTTGCTTTTGCATCTAGCAACATCCATGATTCGACTCAATTAGAGTGTTGTATCCCTTACTATACCTATATCTTTAGGGGTATATAAACCGCAACACAGGCCCCTCGAAGCTCACTACTGTAACTTCACTTGCCAGTACATGACTACTCCAAGTTAGGGTTCCAATTTAGTATATTGTGTATATATTAGTTATTTCTTTATTTTTGTTGCGGGCTTTTCGGTGTTCAAAGGTCAACGCCCTTCCCGACAAAAAGGGGCTACCGTGGGATGGTGTGTCTATACAGGGGACGTAAAATCCGGCAGCACACGGAAAAGTCCCGCCACAAAGCCGTCGACGCCGTCTTCAACCTGTAGGCTGAGATTCTAAATCTAAGTATCCGACTGTGTCCTAGACGGCAGTCTTGAGGAGGTCGAAATACACCACCATCAAAGCCATCAAAGTCATCAATTGTCCTAGGACCGTCGGCAGACAAGGAAGTTCTTGCCGTAGCCATAATGTAGAGGTTGCCACAAAAGAGCTGATGTGCATTTTGACGCAATATTGTCATTTATACCGTAGCTATTTGTTTTGCTTATTATCCACGCGTGGTCTATTTTTTGTTTTGTATCCTTGCCTTTCCTTTTCGTCCTTGGGTAGCGATATGAGCTATCAGTAATGTCAAATATAGCGCTATCATCTACTTTAAGGGTCGCGTTTTATCATATATGATCATTCTCATTTCTTGTATTTATGCTTTATTTGAAGTGGTTAGGTAGGTTGACTGTTCATAACCGGGAACTGGGTGCTTAATTCTAATTGTGGCTTGCTAAGGGGGGGTAATCAATGGCATCGGAAATTCTGATATAAGCCTTTATACCTGAAGTACTGAACGCTCTCTGAATACCATGTATATTTTATGTTCGCTAACTAGAATGCAATTTCATTTCCTCCCAGGTTATATATGGAAGAGCTTATTAGTGCAATACTGAGGACGATACGGTACCATTTATCTCATGCAGTGAACGTGGCACTCTCCGATATTTATCGCTTATAGGAGTCCCCTTTGAAACATTATATCAAAATACCTTCTATTAATAGTTCATCAACGTACACCTTTATCAATTCCTGTCTTCGGCGACTTATAAAAAAGCCTTGTGTAGAGCCATTTCCCTCATACGAGTCTCCCTTCTTCTTTCGCGGCACTTAATGTCCGAGTCTTCGGGGAATGTTACGGGTTCTTGAATTCGTGTCCGATGCGGTTCGGCCGAAGCCTGCAGGAAATCAAAGTGCTCAGCTAAATCAGCATAATGATTTAGCATTGAGCTGTGATCAACAAACCCACATTGTTCCCAGTAGTATCCGGGATTAACCCAGGCATGTGAGTGGTTGAATCCAAACTACCTACTTGCCCGACTAACGGAAAACCCATCACAACTCGTCATTCATGTATTAACGTATAGGGCGTATAAGCGACATATAAGGCGGTCTAATACTTCATGGTCACATTGCTACTATGCAGATCTTAGTCATCAAGTGCGATAAAAATTGTGAGTCCTTGATATCTACGGAGCATTCTTGAGTGAATGGAACCATGGTATGTTCGGGTGTAGTATCAAAAATCGGTATTACATTCTCAGTCATGGGACATATATTCTTAGTGCCTCACGTAAGTTCTGCAGGACATAGGGGTCCTGGATTCGCCCGTTCGTAAACCCATAACATAAATTATGTCTATAAAATGTTAGATATAAGAGTTTATAATACTAATGATTTATTTATAGCCGACTATGGCCGACTATGAGGTAGGTGACACGTCCCGGTTCAGAGCCCCTTGGTTGATTTTATTTTGGCCATTTAGGAAACCTAGCAACGCTGGAACGTATTACTCCTATGTAACTTCGTAGTCTGCCTACGTAGGGTAGGTGTATTTGTAATTGCCCACCCCCGGGTTTCGGATATAGGTCATGACAGTATTTTCTTTGCTGGAGCCAAAGTGCAACCATTACATCACATGGAAAGCCACGGAAATATCGGATACTATCCCATCACGGTTGGGACGCATGATGTTTTATATACTATGGCCTACTCAGTGCTCCACCTAACCGAGGATGCGATCCTTACTCATTTGGCTATATAAACCTAGGCGTTGCTCCCGCCTTGTCTCCCGGGAGTGTTGGTGATAAGATCATATCCGTGTCCTGGCCAACACTACTGAATTAATCGCAACCGAAGAAAGTGAGGCGGGTCTAAATTGTTGCACCTATGTCCTTCATGACGCGAGCATAGAAGTAGAGACGAGCTTCCAAATAGCCATTAGAAATAGACGACATGATAGACACGGGGACAAATGAATCCAACCTGGATCAACATGGCAAGTATCGGCTAGTTCCCAATATAATCGACGATATCGCGAGGGCTGATCCTGAGAGAGAGGCGTTCCTTGTACCGCGCTCCGACAACCCCAAGGATGGTTGGAAATCTATTACGTTTAAAGAGTATGCGAACGCCGTAAACCGCATCGCGCACAGGATAGTCAAGACATGCGGCACTCCATCGCAGGGTTCCTTTCCGACCATAGCCTATGTCGGTCCAAACGACGCTCGTTATGTCATATTACTAGTTGGCGCCGTCAAGGCCGGCTACAAGGTAATATTCCTCATAAATATTCGGTATCTAGAAATGACTGTATTTTAGGCCTTATTTATCTCTCCCCGTAATTCTCTCGAGGGACAGTTAAGTTTATTTGATAAAACGGACTGTCAATTTCTCGCTTTTGCAAAGCCACTACGAGGATTAGTCCGTCCATGGCTACAAGAACGCGAAATGAAGGCGATCGAAGTAGGTTCCGTCGAAACTTGGTTTCCTGAGCAAGATGTCGAACCGTTCCCATACGAGAAGACTTTCGAGCAAGCTGAATGGGATCCGTTGGTAGTGCTTCATACTAGCGGAAGCACTGGAATCCCGAAGCCGGTTGTCATCAGGCAGGGTCTGATAGCTATGCACGATATTCATCATGACTTGCCTACCTTCGGTAATGGATTTGAACCTTGGCTACGAGGGCTTGCAAAGGCATCGCGCAAAACTTTCGTACCGAGTAAGCTAGCTACCTGGATTCCCGAAGCTTGTGGTTCAATTTGCTAATACGTCAAGTGCCCCTTTTCCATGCAGCCGGAATATATCTCTTCATCTACTGCGTATTATACTTTGACACCCCGATCGCCTTAGGTATTAGTGATCGCCCCTTATCAATTGACTTAGTCGTCGAGTGTATCGATAATCTAGATGTCGAGGGAGTTATGCTTCCGCCGGCGATGCTGGAAGAGATGAGCCAGAATGATGAGTGGATTCGGCCACTGATGAAGCTAAAAATTGTTGCTTTCGGTGGAGGTTAGTGACACATACCTAACAACGATTCTACTTCTTCCAGGAGGGCTAATTCCAGCAGGAAATCTTAACAAAGAGGCCGGTGACAGACTAGTCAAGAAGGGAATAAGACTTGTTAATGTAATCGGTGCTACGGAGTAAGTCGACTTGCAGCTTGGGGCTAATTTTGGTTAATCAAATACGTCTAACAATCTCAGATATACGATAATTCAGATGTACTTTCAACCGAACCCTGAGCTCTGGCAATATTTCATATTCAATTCCGATATGATCGGAGCGGACTGGCGCAAGGTCGAAGGTGCCGAGGACGTCTATCAACTAGTCATTGTCCGGCAAAATAAGCATCCAGGTCTTCAGGGTATTTTCTATACTTTCCCGGAAGCCGATGAGTTTGACACGAAGGACATGTACAAACGTCATCCAACTCTCCCGGATCATTGGATATATTACGGAAGATCTGACAGCATCATTGTGTTTTCCAACGGAGAAAAGCTTAATCCAGTGATCATCGAGGAGATCGTCGTCGATCATCCCGGAATCAAGGGCGCTTTGGTAGTCGGCTCAGACCACTTTCAAGCTGGTCTCCTTCTTGAACCTGTGACAAATCCTAGAAACGATCAAGAGGCCGAGAAGCTGCTTGATAGTGTCTGGCCATATGTCGCTAAAGCGAATACCAGAACTGCCGCCCACGGACAGATAGCACGCCAGTTCATCGCATTGGCTAGCCCAGATAAGCCGTTTAACCGCGCTGGAAAGGGAACTGTACAACGAGCTAGTACGCTGAGGTTGTATAAGGAAGAGATCGATAAACTTTACGAAGAAGCAGACAAAGCTTTCGATGGAGTTGCTCCCCAGATGGATATGCATTCTGAGGACACGCTGGCAGAATCTATAAAGGATATATTTGGAACTAGACTTGGACCTAAAGGGGAACTCGAACTAGACACCGATTTTTTCTCGGCTGGTATCGACTCTTTACAAGTTATTAATGCTACCCGACTCCTCCATAGCGGACTGGAAGCTTCAGGTTTCCACGTCGACGCAGCGAAGGTGCCCGCTCGTGTTATTTATGGCAATCCCACACCGCGAAGACTTGCTCGGTATATCTATTCTATCGTGAAAGAAAACGACAATGAGAACACCGAGAGAAGCCAGGACCATGAACTTCAGGCAATGAAATATCTTTGGAAGAGGTATACAGAAAATATTCCGAGGAAGAGGGAAGGAAGACCTGACCCTGAAGATGAGAATCAGACGGTCCTCCTTACCGGATCTACGGGGATGCTAGGATCTTACATGCTAGATCTCCTTGTAAAGAGTCCGTTGGTGAAGAAAGTTATCTGTTTGAATAGAGCTGAGGATGGA